TTTGAGATTGACTCATATTCTAATCTTTCTCAGATACAAACTTTAGTTTAAATATGTAATATTATTATTATTAGTGATGATATCAGGAGATGAAGATATAGTAAACTATTCTTCCAGAAGCTATTATAATTGTTATAATAAAAGATTATTATTTTAAAGTTATGGTGATAGTATTAGTTTCAAGATTGACTGGTTATCTAGTATTTGTATTTCTTTTTATATAGTTATTAACATAATATCTTATTTTATTATATTTAAAATACTTAATATTCAGAATATTATTATTATTACTATTATTTACATTTTTTCTTGATAGCTTATAATCATGAACTATATATTTATTTTTATTATAATTGTAATAAGTTTTATTTTGATTAGGATAACTATTAAAATTTTGATTATTCTGATTAGATAATTTCTTTATCTATTCTATGAGATCAGCTATAACTTTACTCATATTAGTTACTGAATTTGAAGTGCTGAAGAGAATATCAAGATTTTGTGATATGAGAGATATAGAGTTAAGAGAGTTCTAATAGATTTATTTATAACTAGACTTAGTTCTAATAACTTTTGTAATTACTTTATCCAAAGTATCTTAATTAGACTTATTTATATAAAAAATAACTTTTGATTTTAAGTTTTTTACAAACTGCTCAATATAGTAAGTATTATTAAAATATTTATAATTCTAAGAAAATTATAATCCTAAAAAATTAATAAAATAGTAAATCAAAATAATCTGATTATACTTGGTATATTAATATAACTTTTTCAAAGAAAGTTGTAATTATTAGTATAATATTGTTAAAACTTAATTATAATTATCTATTTATTCCTATAATTAATTTATATACTATAAAAAATTAGATCTTACCTGAGGATATTTTATAAAAAATTTATTTTTATATTATTAAAAATAATCTTGATATGATAATCTAATATTGACTTCTCTCTATCAAGTTTTTTAGTATCATAATATTTTTATATAACTGGCAAAATCAAATATAAAAATATAAGATAAAAGATCAAAAAGAAAATGATACAGCAAGACTTTTAAAATATTTACTTATCAAAAAGACTAAGAAATCAGATTGGAAAATATTTTGAGAACTTAATTATAAAATAAATAGTTTAAATAAGTTATTTTGGATATTATCAGATCAAGTCTAATAATGAATTATCTATCATAATATTATACTGAATGATTATACATATAAAATAAATCAATATAATATATCACTTTCTCTATTTATAACTATTAATAACTATTTTTACATCTGTCTTATTATTTAAGTTTTAGTTAATAATAAAACTAAAGAGATATATGAGTGACTTCTTTTTTCTACTTTACAAGTCATGAACTATGCTCCACAAGTTTTTGTTATTAATACTAATTCTAATATGAATGCTACTATAGATAGTTAATATGGTGACACATATCCATTTCATTATATCTATCATATTTTATAAAATCTTCTACATAATCTTAAAGTTTCTCTTAATAATATCTTTATTAACTTTTTAAAAGATTTTTATATATATTAGAATATTCTTTCTCCTATTAATTTTGATTCTTAGTGATATAATCTCATTAAAATATATTTTAGAATAGCTAGTTATCTTAACTTGAAGTTCTATCTTAATTAGTTAAGATATATATAATAAAATTCTTCATTATTAGTATCTCATTAATATTATAGATCAAAAGTAAAAACTTAATAATAAAGAATAATCTTCAAGATTATCCTAATCTTTATGAACTTGTGATTATTTTGAATTAGTAATTATGTAATAAAGTATAATATATTAATTATAATAAATAGTATTATTTTAATATAAATACATAATTAACTAGTACTTTCTCTAAGTATTTTTTTAAAGTTAATTATATTCTTAAAAAGTATCTTACCAAATAATTACTCTATTATTATATAATAATAGAAAATGATCATTTAGTTAATAATAAATCTATTAAAGAAGAATATAATTTATAGTAAATTTATCTGACTTCTCTTTTGAAGAATCTTTCTTTTAAGTAATATTATTAAGAATATAAAATTCAATAATACCATTATATTCATAATAATTTTATTATTATTCTTGCTAATCATTTATATTTCTATATATATATATATGCTATTAATTAATTGTAATCTGATTTGTTAATATTTTTAGCATGTATTGAATATTGATAATAAAGTATTCTTTCATATAATTTTAATTTTCAGATGCTGATATAAAAGTGAAAAAATACAAGAATCAGAATTAGATAAGTAATCTTTTATAATAAATACTAGTTTAGTATAATTACATGATAATTACTTATTTTATTTCAGGCTTTTTTTTATATATAATATTACTATAGTTTATAGAAAAGATATCTTTTATCCAGAAGTTTGTTATGTAGTTTAGAAATGACATAATTATGATAAAATCTTTAATCTTGCTTAGAAGATAGTTTAATATGCTGTCAAGATAAGTGATAAATCTTTTTATCATCTTAAAAGAAGTCTTAATGACTAGTTTTTTGAAAAATAAAAAATTACTAGTAATATTAGTGATGATGATAATTATAACAAAGACAAAAAAAATTTTGATCTAATTAAAGTTAAAAATCCAATTAAAAAATGATAGAAAGAATAATTTTCTATTAAGTGATTTAAGAATAGTAATAAAATATTAATTAAAAGCAAAAAATCTACTAATCAAAACAAGTATGATAAATATGAAGATGTTAAACATTATATTCTAACTTGTAAAAAATAATAGAAAATAGAAGAAAATATAAAATGAGAGAAAAATATAGAATTATAATTATCATTATAATCTTTATAAAATGATTTGATATAAAATTTTTAGTAAAATACATAACTTTTCTAATAGTAATCTAATTATTTATTTTTTTTTTTACTTATTTTATTTATTCTATTTACTTTACTTATCCTAAACTTTATTCATCAATAATTATAATGATAATAAATATAATAAGTAGAATTATAAAAATTTAACTATTTACTTTTTTATTCTTATCTACTTATTATTTTATTTATCTGTCATCCAACTATTTAACTAATAATAATCAGATTATGATAAGTAAAATTATGATTTTTAATTAGAAATTTAGCTATTTACTCACTTTATTTTTATTTATTTATTATTTTATTTATCTATTATTCAATTAGTCAATTAATAATAATCAAATTATAATAAATAAAGTTATAATTTTTCATAATTTAATTATTTACTAATCTATCACTTTATTTATTGATAATAAATAGTAACTAATAAAAATCAGATTATAATAAGTGAAATTATTATTTTTTTGATAATAATTCAGCTATTTACTTATCTGAATATATTATCTTTATCTTATTTACTCATTATCTTATTAATAACTAAGAATAAGCAGCTTATAATAAATAAAATTATGATTTTTTGATAAAAAAAATGAAAATCAACTATTTATTTATTTATTATTTTATCTACTCTTTATTATTACTCTAATAATAATAAGATTATATAAGTAAAAGATTTTTTTGATAATAATTTAACTATTTTTTACTTATCTATCACTCTATTTATTTAGCTCAAGAAATAATGACAATAGAAAAAAAATATGAGAAAAAATATATAATCTTAAATAATAATTTTGTAATAAAAATTACTTTTTTATTACATCACGTGATTAGTTATTATATTACATATTTTTAAACTTCACATAATCTGGTACTGTTATCAGTAATAACAAGTAAATTCACTCTAAAATATATTATTAATTAAGATTTTTAATAAATTCTTTATATTATTTAAGATAAATATTAATAAAATTAATTTTCTTAAGTAATAAATAAATATTAATTATAAATTAATTAATTAATTTATTTATATGCTAAACTTAAATATTTAATTATTATTATTATTATATTAATATTTGAATTTGAATATAAAATTTTTTAAGAAATAAATCTTAAAAGATTAATTATTATTATTATTTTTATAATAATATTTTAATTAAATATTAATTATTTAAGCTTTTATTAATATTAATAACTTATAATTTCTTAAAGATATAAAGTTATTATTTTAATTCTTCTTTTATAATTCATATTATTTGAAAGATTATTTATTTATAATTATAAATAAGATAAAATATAAAGTAAATAGTTTTAATTTATAAATACTTATAATTTTAATATTTAAATAATATTTAATTCTAAAATTAAAAATATAAAAATATAAAACAGAGTGACTTATTTATATAAGTTAAAATGAATATAAAATATAAATAAGTTAATAATTTTAAAATATATATAAGTTAAAGAAGTTAATTATATTTCTAAAAAAGTAATTATACTTGATCTAATAATTATAAATATAATAAATAATATAAATAATAATTAATAAAAATAAATAAAATTATAATAGAAATATTTAAAAAATTTAATTAAAAATATTAAATATCTAAATTAATAATTAAAAAATATATAGTAATTATTTATATAATATATATTAATTAATTATATAATAATTATCTATATATTCAAAGTAAAATTAATCTTTATAAAAGTAATACAAACTAATAAATATAATATAAATAGTATAAAATAAAGATTGAATATAATCAAATCAAAATTATTACATTATTAATATTTATTGTTTATTAAATTCTTCTAATTAAATAACCAAATCTTTATAATTATTATTACTAAAGATTAAGATTGGAATTAATTCTTGATTTTGATTACTAATTAATTCAGCAAGACTTTTAAATATATTAATTTAGTTCTTATTATTATCAATAATTTAATTGGTTTACCCAACTTAGAAATCATATAATTTGAGACTAATGAAAGTGAAATTTCATCAAAATAAACAAATAATACAAAAAAGTCAAAAAGCAATAAATATCAATTTTTCAATATCAAATAAAAATAAATAAAAATTAATCGTAATTAAGTATAGGGCGAAGCCATTTCTCTGTTTCTTCGAGGTTGCGATCAGATCTCTTGGTGTAACTTAGTACCTATTATTGAAAACTTAATGAACAAATCTATATTATAAATTAATTGTGCAATAATTAATGATAACACACCTGATCTTTTCCAATTTTGCCTACGGCAAAGTATTGTGATTCGGGGTTTGCAAAAATCAATGCTAAGATGACAATCAAAAAGTTTAATTCGATTAATTATTTTCTTCTAAATTAAATCAATAAATATTTAAATAAACAACCTGAAACACTAGCAGCAGGTAACATAGCATAAGATTCTGTCAACTGAATCCCCGTCTCTTGTTCTACATCCGCCAATTTCCAAAGCGTCTCTTTTTCTCGGTGATCAGGCTGCGAAGGATACGCAGGAGCAGGTCGTATTCCCTTATATTTGACTGACAACAGTTCATTCAAATTAAGATTCTCTATCGGTGCATATCCCCACAATTCTTTCCTTATATCTTGATGAAGCACTTCTGCAAAAGCTTCTGCAAAACGATCAGCCACTGCTTTTGTCATTATGACACTGTAGTCGTCATGTTCTTTTTGGAATGTCTCGCAGAGTTCCTCTGTACCGAAAATTCCTACAGCCATCACGCCCAAGTAGTCGGGAATACCAGATTCTTTTGGCGCTATAAAGTCTGATAAACAGAAGTATGGTTCGTTGTTTTCTTTCTCGGCTTGTTGTCTAAATATTTACTTATTAGTGTACGTTAAGGTTGTCAATAATTATAGCATGTTTAATTACCTTAGTCCATAGAACGTGGCGATCGTTTTTTCTCTGCTTTCATGTTCATACACCTAATACACGTTATATGCGTCAGTTATTACTAGTAATGCGGTCCCATGAAACAGATTAGCAATATAAATACCTGAATGTCATCATCCACACTATTAGCTAAAAAAAGTCATCATTTTAACCCCAATATTGTATTTTACACACGCATATACTTTAAATATACAGTCTGACCTCCACAAATCACACAGTAAGTAAAAAAATCCGAAAGTATAATTGTAGAGAGGTTGTGATTGAATAGAAGTTTTAATGGAGGTCAGACTGTCTTAAATTCAATCGAAAAATTACCTGGATATATGCCAACAACTCCTTTTGCAGTAAAAAGCTTTTGATCAATAATTTTTGCAATTAAGGCTTGAGCTTCATCATATATTTTTTTTGCTTCTGCGCCTAGAAACCAGAATTATCAAAAACACGATATAGAAATTGTTAGCAACTCTAATAATATCTCAAAAAGAAGAATATACTTGCCAACATGCTCATCATTAAAAATCTTTGGGAAACCACGATTAGGGTATCTGCCTCTTAATTGCCTAAATAAATGAAGTCATTATATAATGGATTACTCGAAATAAAAAATGAAATTGAATAAAATATCTTCAAATAGCCGACCAGACTTGGAAAAAAGGATTCCAGTCAATATACTCTGAAATTCTTTTTAAGTCATAATCTTTGAAAGCCTTTTTTCCAATAGACGCAGGTCTTAGAGGGGGAGACTGTCCTGCCCAATTTATTTTATATCCTTTTTCTCTAGCAGCTGTTAATGGCAGATATTTCCTTTCTTGTATTGATGAATAATGATCTTCGCGGATTTCCTCATACTCGTCGGCAATGTCCTCCCAAAATTCTTCTTTCGAATTTTCATCCAGTAAATTTGATACCTGCGGTGTTATTTTAATATGATTTGAGATTCATCATATAAAAATAATTTATAAAAGCTTTACGATTTTTTTTTGATTAGTTGAATCATGAACTCACCACTACAACACTTTTTGAGGCATCAAGCACGTGTATGGTGGGTTGACTATACTGAGGTTGAATCTTGACTGCGGTGTGAGCTTTGGAAGTTGTTGCGCCACCAATCAACAATGGAACCTGCGAAAAATATGCATGAGACTGGGAAAAATGTGTTAATAAACATAAGTAAATTTATCAAACCTTTAAAGAACGTCTTTCCATTTCTTTAGCAACAGTAATCATTTCATCAAGAGAAGGTGTAATTAAACCAGATAGACCAATAATATCCGCTTTTTCTTGAAGTGCTGTATCGATAATTTTTTCGCATGGTGTCATGACACCAAGATCAATTACCTAAAAACGTATATAATTTAATTACCATATTAATAAATAAGTTATCAATATTCATATGACTCACTTTGTAATTATTACAGCCAAGCACAACACCAACGATATTCTTTCCAATGTCATGCACGTCGCCTTTTACTGTAGCCAAGATCACAACACCAGCATGTTGAGGACCAATGTCTTCTTCTTGAGAATTAGCGGCAAGTTTCGCTTGTCTTTCTAATTCCATGAATGGAATAAGATGTGCGACTGCTTTTTTCATAACCCTATGAAATTATTACCGATCAGATATCATAATTTACTTCAAATACAATTGAATAAATATGAAGTTAATTAGCAAAAATAATCATAGTTACCGAGCAGATTTGATGACTTGCGGCAAAAACATTTTTCCTTTATATTAATAATAAATATTATTTTATAATTAAGCAGATTTAATTCCATATTTTTAGAATTAGTGTTTATTTCATACCTGCGCCAAACAAATCGCCAACAGTACTCATCCCTGCCATCAATGGCCCCTCAATTACATTTAACGGGCGCTCATACTATACAAAAAGTTAAGAAAAAAATAAAATAAAAATTTGCATGCGTTCTTTATCCATTTGTTTCACATACCTGTAACCGAGCCTCTTCTGTATCTTCAATAATATATTTTGTAATCCCTTTAATCAGCGCATAACTAATTCTAGACTGAACATCGGCATTTCTCCATTCTTCTTCAGTTTCTTCGCGTTTTGCGGATTTTCCATGGATTTGAGCATAATTCAGGATTTTCTCTGTGACCTCTGGATCACGATTCCATACAGCATTTTCACAGAGTTCTAGTAAATCTTTGGGAATGTCATCGTAAATTGTCAGAAATCCTGCATTCACAATGCCCATGTCCATGCCTTTGAGTTTTTAATTTATTAGTTAGTTAATGTTATTATTGATAAATGTCTAATTTTTACTGCAAGAATTGAGAGAGTTTTCTCACCTGCTTTTATGGCATGATATAAAAACACACTGTGCATCGCTTCCCGAATTTTATCCATGCCACGAAACGAGAATGAAAGATTCGAAACTCCACCACTTACCTAAACAATAAAAATTTATTAATACACAAAAATTCTCAAATGTAAAGAGTAAAAACAAATAAATAATTTACTTTAACTCCTGGCAAAGTTCTCTTGATAATTCTCGTAGCCTCGATGAATTCTACGGCGTAATTGTTATGTTCCTCCATTCCAGTGCATATTGTCAAAATATTCGGGTCTATATGTTAAATAATTCAAGTTAAATACAATGACCAAAAAGATTATTTAAATTGAATAAGAATCACAAATATTATACCAAATATAATATCATTAGGATTAAATCCGACTATGTCAACGAGGATTTTGTAAGAACGCGTGCAGATTTCCACTTTTCGTTCACATTCAGCTGCTTGTCCAATTTCATCAAACTATGAAAACATGATCAATTACCGCTTATTTATTGAATTATTAACAAAAAATCTCAAATTCGACTTACAGCCATAACAATAACGGCAGCTCCAAATCTACGAATAATTTTCGCTTTATTTATAAAATCTTTTTCGCCTTCTTTCATACTGATACTGTTGACAATGCATTTTCCTTGTGCACACTTGAGTCCAGCTAATACAACCTCGAAATTCGAAGAATCCACCATCAACGGAACCTTAATAAAAATAATTCAGGCAAAACGGATAACCAAAAAATTAATATAACAAATAATGGAAGAATTAATCGGCTAGGTAATTATTCACGACACTCACTCGAGCAACATCAGGATCACTTGCCACAAGATTCAAGAATTTTGTCATGGCCGATTTTCCATCCAACATTCCTTCGTCCATATTAACATCAACTACTTGCGCCCCATTTTCAACTTGTGCTCTGGCGATAGTCATAGCGTCTTCGTATTCATTCTTAAGAATATGTCTGCAAAATTTACGAGATCCGGCAACATTACATCGTTCTCCCACGTTCACAAAATTAGTGTCTTTGTTAATTTTAAGAATTTCCAGTCCAGAAATTATCATGTTCTCTAAAGAAGCATCTGGTGGTGGGATACGTGGCTTATATTTAGAGCAAGCTTCTACAATTGCTTTGATGTGAGCTGGTGTAGTGCCACAACAGCCTCCTATTATGTTTACGAGCCCATCTTTTGCAAAATCAACCAGAGCTTCTGACATCATTTCAGGAGATTCATCGTATTCTCCGAATGTATTCGGTAAACCCTAAAAAATAATCTAAAATATAACTAAGGTGAACAGATTTAAAATTAACCAAATAATTAGGGACAAATCATACCGCGTTAGGATAACATAGAACATAGGATCCAGAAAATTTTGCAATGTTCTTTATAAACGGGCGCATTTGTTGAGCCCCTAAAGCACAATTTAGTCCAATCGCAAGTGGATTAGAATGGTTAACACTAACAACAAATGCTTCTCCGGTCTGACCACTCAATGTGCGACCGGACATATCAACAATTGTCCCTGATATAAATATTGGCGTTCGTCGATAACCTTGGTCAAAAAGTGTATCTATAGCGAAAAGTGCGGCCTTAAAAACATCGCATTATTTAGTTATTTAATTTTGTTTTAATCATGCATATACGCAAAAAAAAAAATCACGGGCATTGAAATCCACTGAAATAACAAACTTTAGCATTCAGTGTGTCAAAGATAGTCTCAACCAACAAGATATCCGCACCACCATCCAAAAGTCCTTGGGTTTGTTCTTTATATGCCTCAACTAATTCATCAAATGTCACATTACGATAAGCGGGATTTTCGACAGAAGGGGAAATAGAGCATGTACGATTCGTGGGACCAATAGCACCACATACAAATCGCGGTT